GGGAAGGTGGTCGACCTGCTCAGCCTCGACGCCGACCTCGTCTGCAGGTGCCAGGTGAGGAGCCGCCGCCGCCTCCTTCGGGGGGACTACAAACCCCATCCTCCGCAGCCGCTCGCGGGGCTGCTTTCGGCCTTAATGTTCACTTGGGGGGGCGTGGGGCCCCCTCCCCTCTGATGGGGGGGATTCTCTCCTCTTGGACGTAGCATCGTTTTGCCAACTCGGGTCTTGCCAAAATGGGCTGCCCTGGTCGTCGGAATGCGGGTCTTCCGTGCCCTGGGCCCCTCGTCGGGAGGGATGCGAGGGAGAACGGGGTCCCCCCTTCCACGCTGCATCACCTCTTGGTATTCCATCCCGGCTTTTTAGGCGCTGTTGGCAGGTGGGTCTGGATGAGGGCGGGGAATAGTCGCCTGATTCGAATTCGCACGCTTCCAAGTGACGTTTCTATGGAAAATAGGGTAGTGGGTTCCAGCTGGATGGAAATCGGCAGTGAAAGCATTTAAACACAAAATTTTATGTGTCTGTTCATGCAACGGGGCCAAAAGAACGTACCTATAATTTAAATGGATGGTTAACAAAGTCACAGAATAGTTCTAGAAAGCATCATTTAAAACAAAAACCCAAAATTCTTCCATAGATTCAGGCATTCCAACATCCATCCTATTTTATTTTTTTCAACTGCATCAAATTTTTGCTCTGAGGTCAGAACGAGCCTCTTCTTTTTCACCCTTGTGCTGTTTTCCTCTGACTGAATCTTCCCTTTCTCCATTTTGCACCCACGAAGAGGAACGGTGTCTGAAACCGCAACTGTGCATGCACCAGCCTCGCATTAACTGAATTTTGGGTTGCATTAAATGCAGCCTGGTAAAAAAACTGGACAGCTTCCAGATTTGGGGGCTTTTACTCTTAGTTATGGCTGTGCTGGCTAGGGAATTCTGGGAATTGAAGTCCACATACCTGGAGGGTGACCTTCACCTCCCAGAGTTCTCGGCTGTGACCCTGCTGGCTGAGGAATTCTGGGAGTTACCACCCATCTGGGAATTGAAGTCCACATACCTGGAGGGTGACCTTCACCTCCCAGAGTTCTCGGCTGTGACCCTGCTGGCTGGGGAATTCTGGGAGCTACCATCCATCTGGAAGTCCGTGTTTTAGTATTGGCAAGAAAAGTACCTTATCAAAATTGTGTCCTTGGATCTCCGGCTCTGAGCCTTCTAGTCGGAGTACCGGTTTGGGCGAAGCCTGACAGGTGTGAGTCCTTGTGTAACACAACCATCTGCACTTTTTCGTCCCCTTTCTGCACGCAGGCATCAACGCCTGCTATTTGCACGTCTGATGCTTTTCTCTCCCCGCAGGGTGGCAATAACGCCGGCCACACCGTCGTGGTAGATTCAGTCGAATATGACTTCCATCTGTTGCCCAGCGGAGTTATCAATCATAACGCCACGTCGTTCATCGGTGAGTTTCATCAATGTTGCCATAATGATTGCGGAAGGCAGCCAAATCTTGAGTAACATTGGCCAGGAGTAGGGAAACCTGGATTTAAATGACCGAGATTAGCTGGGTGATTTCTGTCTTATACGGGATACGCTTTTCTTAAATACCCACCAAATGATCCGGTTTGTGCATTAGGGCTAAGTCGTAGTTTCTTTAACCAGGATACGTCAATGAACCACAATTGGCTAGGTTCACCCACACTGCGCAATAACGAAAGAAACCCTATTTTGGTTTTAGGCAATGTGTGAACCCTGATCCAAGCCTTGAATTCTCTCTCGTTTTCTTTGATTTGCCCCCAGAGCAAACCACATTCCCCAGGATAATTTCCCTCTTAATTCTGCCCACCTCTTTCTGGGCAACGGCTGATCTCATTGTTTTATCCCAGGCAACGGGGTCGTAATCCACTTACCGGGGCTCTTTGAAGAAGCTGAGAAGAACCTGAAGAAAGGACCGGGTGAGCAACCTTCCGTGAAGGGAGGGGGAAAGGAAGGAAAAGAAATAATAATGTATTGAGGTGGTTGCCTTAATTTTTCCAAAAAAACAAGCTGAGCAGTTCCAGCGTCTTTCTTATGGAACTTGCATCTTCAACATCGCTTTTGAAGACCACCATGCAGATGGTCCACAGAAGAGTTGCCCGTGGAGTATTTGCAGGCCCTGTTAAGATGATCATTCCTCCAAATTGTGGTTCTGGGACACCCCCCACTCCATAACCATTCATTTTTCTTAAAAAAAATGAAATAGCTGGAATGGTCCTGAGATTGCTAATGCTCGTAAACCTTCCTTGAATGTTTGGGGGAAAAAGAGACCATGCTTTTCAAGATTTGGTGATTGCCTGAGATTTCCTGCTGCTGCTGCTTCCGAGACCACCTAAGGCCCCAATCTCAGCTTATTTACTGAATTTAATCAATTTCCAAGCCTGATGCCTTCCAGTTTCCTACCATTCCCAAAAGGAATTGCAATGGTTATTTAGTCTGACCCTTTGCAGGATCTGTAAGACTGGGAGAAATTGCTCTATAGCTTTTGCTCCAGGGCAACAACATAAGAATGAAGCTGGAAATGGAAATGGAAATGGAGGATGGTGGGGGAAACTGGAAATGGAAATGGAGGATGGTGGGGGAAA